TTCAAAGAATTAAGAGTAATAGAGAAAATAGTAGATGTACCATTCAATCCAGCAATCCCACTGCTAGGTATCTACCTGTATTAGCCTGTTCTCACACTGCTGTAAAGAACTGCCTGAGACTCAGTAATTTATAAAGGAAAGAAGTTTAGTCAACTCACAGTTTTGCAAGGCTGGGGAGGCCTCAGGAAAATTATAATCATGGCAGAAGGGGAACCAAACACTTCCTTCTTCACATGATGGCAGGAAGGAGAAGAATGAGTGCTGAGCAAAGGGTGACGCCCCTTATGAAACCATCAGATCTCATGAGAACTTACTCACTATCACAAGAATCATAGCATAGGGATAACCACCCCCATGATTCACTTACCTCCCACCAGGTCCCTCCCATGACATGTGGAGATTATGAGAACTACAATGCAAGATGAGATTTGGGTGGGGACACAACCAAACCACATCATTATCCAAAGGAAAAGAAGTCATTATATCAAAAAGACAACTGCATGCATGTTTGTGGCAGCACAATTCAAAATTGCAAAAATATGGAACCAACCATACATTAGAAATTCAAACAACTTGATTTTCTAATCTTTGTGCATATTATTCTCCTAGATCAACCTAAAGGAGGAGAGGACTGTCAGTGGCAATTAACTTCTTTGTAGTGGGCATAATTTTCTATGGTGACCAGCCACCAATCAGTGGATAAATAAAATGTGGTACATGGGCATCATGAACTACTACTCAGCCATAAAAAGGAACAAAATAATGTCTTTTGCAGCAACTTAGATGGACTGGAGGCCATTATTCTAAGTGAAGCAACTCAGGAATGGAAAACCAAACTTGTAAGTGGGAGCTAAGCTATGGGTATGCAAAAGCATACGGAGTGGTATCATGGACATTAGATACTCATAAGGGGAGGGGGAATAATGTTGAGGGGGAAGAAAACCTACATGTCAGGTACAAAGTACACTACTTAGGTGATGGATGCACTAAAAGCTCCAGCTTCACCAGTATATGATTCATCCATATAAACAAAAACCACTTGTATCCCAAAAGCTATTGAAATAAAAAATATACATATATTTAAAAATCAGATATCCACTCAAGAAAAAAATTATAAATTTTTGTTATATTTTAAATTACAAAATATAAGATAAACAAATTTCAGAATGCATACACATTTAGATTTCTTATAAATGTCTATAAAAGATACACAATTCAATATACTATTGGGGAACACCAAGAACATATAATTTTTAAAGGACAAAAGTCACATGACTAAAAATTTATGAAAAAGTGTGCAAACCTATTGGAAATAGAGAGAATAGCATAAAAAGTCCATAAATAAATCCAAGCATATATGGCCTACTAATTTTGGACAGGGACAACAAAAAGACACAATGAAAAAGAGTTGCCTCTTCAATAAATGGTGCTAGAAAAAAACTGTATTTCCACATATAAAGGAATAAAGTCAAATCCTTATCTTACACCATACACAAAAATCAACTTAAAATGGATTAAAGACCTAAATGTAAGACCATAAAACTCTTGAAATAAAACATAAGAGAAAGAGAAGAGAATATAGCTCCTTGACATTGGCCTTGGCAGCAATTCCTTGGATAGCACACTAAAAGGTCATGCTACAAAAGCAAATATAAATAGATAGGACAACATCAAGCGAAAATGTTTCTGCACAGCAAGGAAACAAATGTTTCTTCACAGTAAAGGAAAAAAATGAAAAACAACCTAGGGATGGGAAAGAAATATTTGCAAACTATATATATGATAAAAGGTTAATATTCAAAATTTATGTAAAAAGCCATACAACTCAATAGTAAGAAAACATATAACTCAATAATAAATGGACAAAATGCCTGAATAGATAGTTCTCCAAAGATGACATAAAAATGGCCAACAGGTATGGGACAAGGTGCTCACCATTACTAATCATGAGAACAGAATAATGCAAATCAAAACTACAATGAAATATCACTTTATATTCCTTAAAGTGGTTATTATTTAAAAGATGAGTTAACCAGTGTTGTCAAGAGTGTGTACTTATGCACTACTGGTGGACTATAAATTGGTGCAGCCATTAAGAAAAACACTAGAAAGGTACCATGTAACAAACTTTCAGAGGGATCCCCTGAACCTAAAAGCTAAAAAAAAAGTTTCCACCCCAAAATTAAAGATAAAACTACCATTACCATATGCTCCAGCAATCCTTCTCCTGGGTATATACACAAACAAAATGAAACTACCACCTTGTAAAAATATCTGCACTCCCATGTTCATTGAAGCATTATGCACAATTACCAAGATGCAAAAACAGTCTAGGTGTCCATCAACAGAACAATGAAAAAGGAAACTGTAATGTGTACACACATACACACACACACACAGAATATAATTCAGCCTTTAAAAAGGAGATATTCAGTTGTACCCTAAATCTCAACATCGCACAATATATCCAGGTAACAAATCTGCACATGTGCCCCCTAAATCTAAAATAAAAGTTGAAATTATAAAAAACAGAAAAATAAAAATAAAAGGAGATCTTGCCATTTGCCACTACATGGAGGTACCTGGAAAACATTAAGCTAAATAAAATAAGCCAGACACAAAAAGAAAAACATTGCATGACCTCACTTATATGTGGGCAAAAGGGTCAAATACACAGACGTAGAGAATAAAACAGCAGTTACCAAGGACAAAGTGGGAAGGAGAAAATGGAGAGATATAAGTCAAAGTGTACAAAGTATAAGATATGTAGGATAAACAAGGCTAAAGACCTAACGTACGACATGAAAACTGTAGTTGCTAACAGTGTATAGAGTTCAGAATTTTTGCTAAATAACTAGATTATAGATGTTCTTGCCACAGAGTGAAAAATAAGTAACTATATGAGGTGATACGTATGTTAATTTGTTTCACCATGGTAACCATTTTATATATACATTTATATACACACAGAAATACATATATAATTTTCATAGCATTATGTTGTATACCTTAAATATACACAATTAAATTTATTTTAAAAAATAAGAGAAAACTCATAACATGAAAAAAATTATTAACTCATCATGTAATATCAACTGAGCAGTGTGCTAGAAGCTCTGAAGGCACAGAAGAAATGAAAAAAGACATCACACAGATTTAATAAATATGAGTATTTGTCTGCAAATACAGATGTAACATCACGTTTTAGTTGCTACCAGTAACAAAATTTTAATTTAAATTCCACCTTGCCTCTGGGTTGGCAAAAATATTCAAATAAGTCATTTTGGGGAATTATTTCCACAAATTTTTCATGTCAAAGCTATCTAGACTCCACCAGGCACATGCAGAGTATGTCCAGAAATAAAGTAGTGACAATGGAAGATTGCACTGGTTATCAGCTATCCACTCAGAAGTTGTCGGGTAACTGCTGAGTCTGCACACACTCAGTGCTGGGACTCTACCATTCCCATCACAAGGAGGCACTGCAGTGTGGGATTCTGGTGTGGCCACTCACCTCCATTTGCAACCACACTGTTAGGAGTTCTCTGATTCCACGGGGTATCCTAAAGGTGAGTACTGGGTTCTGGTTCCCCCAGGACCCACAGGCATTGCTCCACCCTCACCCTTTCCAAATAATTTATTTTGATAAACTCTTTAGCTCCTCCACAGACCCTCTAGTTCTATTGTCAATTTAACTTTTGAAAAAAAAATAGTATTAAGCTTCTTTTGCTTGTCACCTTGAAAATACCTTCCAAGGAGTCAAAAAGTAAACTCATGACAACCCACAGGAAAGTGGGAAAGAGGATATTTCAGAAAATCGTCCATAATGGATACCATGAGTTTATCCAGTCTTATTCTTGTGCCTAATGAAATGTTTCATAGCCCAATTTGAGGAAGACTAGATGGCGTCTATTACTATGCATCACCCCAAAAGAGAGTAGTCAGTTCATAAAACGTGACGTTTCATGGAAGAGACCGTCCCACAGATCTTCATGAGTCTTTAAAGCTACAGAACAGTAGCTGTGGCCCAACAGAAAATATTTTTACTGGAGAAGTATAGTGAGCACAACAATAGAAAAATCTACTGTGGTGAGATGAGTGAATGGGTTTCCTTTCCCTTTGACTTGAAGTAACAGAACCATTCTTCCAAGACCTAGTTAATATTTTTGCAGCGATTATCATTTTGAAATAGGACTATCAGTGAACATCTGTAGCTCACTCTTTGTTTTCTAGTGTTTCTGGAATTGAATTTTATAAAAAGAAATAAATCAGAGAACTAATGAATGCATTTGAAATAGGTAAGGAAATGCTGGAAATTATGCTAATTCTCTCTCCTAATTGTGGGAAAGGAGCTGCTTCTTGGACATGGACATGCCCGTTATCCAAATCCTCCTGAGTCATGTAGCCATAGGTATTTTTCTCAAAGTCATGTGCTATAAATCATGATACTAATAATTTGCTGGATATAATACCATGGTATTAAGACTGAATCCAGTCTTTTATTTTTCCATTTATTTATTTTTTTATTTTATTGCATTTTAGGTTTTGGGGTACATGTGCATTTTAGGTTTTGGGGAACATGGAGTGCATGTTGCAAGATTGTTGCATAGGTACACACGTGGCAGTGTGATTTACTGCCTTCCTCCCCATCACGTACATCTGGCATCTCTCCCCTTGCTCTCTCTCCCCAACTCCCCACCCCCCACCATCCCTCCCCTATGGCCCCCCAACTGACCCCAGTGTGTGGTGCTCCCCTCCCTGTGTCCATGTGTTCTCATTGTTCAACACCCGCCTATGAGTGAGAACATGCAGTGTTTGATCCTCTGCTCTTCTGTCAGTTTGCTGAGAATGATAGTTTCCAGGCTCATCCATGTCCCTACAAAGGACACAAACTCATCGTTTTTGATGGCTACATAATATTCCATGGTGTATATGTGCCCCATTTTCCCTGTCCAGTCTATCATCGATGGGCATTTGGGTTGGTTCCAGGTCTTTGCTATTGTAAACAGTGCTGCAATGAACATTTGTGTGCACATGTCCTTATAGCAGAATGATTTATAATTCTTTGGATACATACCCAGTAATATATCCAGTAATGGGATTGCTGGGTCAAATGTAATTTCTATTTCTAGGTCCTTGAGGAATTGCCACACTGTCTTCCACAATGGTTGAACTAATTTACACTCCCACCAACAGTGTAAAAGTATTCCTATTTCTCCACATCTTCTCCAGCATCTGTTGTCTCCGGATTTTTTAATGATCACCATTCTAACTTGTGTGAGATTGTATCTCAATGTAGTTTTGATTTGCATGTCTCTGATGGCCAGTGATGATGAGCATTTTTTCATATGCTTGTTGGCCTCATGTATGTCTTCTTTTGTAAAGTATCTGTTCATATCCTTTGCCCACTTTTGAATGGGCTTGTTTGTTTTTTTCTTGTAAATCTGTTTTAGTTCTTTGTAAATTCTGGATATCGGCCCTTTGTCAGATGGGTAAACTGCAAAAATTTTTTCCCATTCTGTTGGTCGCCGATTCACTCTAATGAAAAGTTTCCTTTGCTATGCAGAAGCTGTGGAGTTTGATTAGGTCCCATTTGTCTATTTTGGCTTTTGTTGTCATTGCTTTTGGTGTTTTGGTCATGAAGTCCTTGCCTACACCTATGTCCTGAATGGTTTTGCCTAGATTTTCTTCTAGGGTTTTATGGTGTTAGGTCTTATGTTTAAGTCTTTAATCCATCTGGAGTTAATTTTAGTGTAAGGTGTCAGGAAGAGGTCCAGTTTCTGCTTTCTGCACATGGCTAGCCAGTTTTCCCAACACCATTTATTAAACAGGGAATCCTTTCCCCATTGCTTGTTTTTGTCTGGTTTGTCAGGGATCAGATGGTTGTAGATATGCTGTGTTGCCTCCGAGACCTCTGTTCTGTTCCATTGGTCTATATCTCTGTTCTGGTACCAGTACCATGCTGTTTTGATTTCTGTAGCCTTATAGTATAGTTTGAAGTCCGGTAGTGTGATGCCTCCCTCTTTGTTCTTTTTGCTTAGAATTGACTTGGCTATGCGGGCTCTCTTTTGGTTCCATATGAACTTTAAGGTGGTTTTTTCCAGTACTGTGAAGAAGGTCATTGGTAGTTTGATGGGGATAGCATTGAATCTGTAAATTACTTTGGGCAGTATGGCCATTTTCATGATATTGATTTTTCCTAACCATGAACATGGAATGTTTCTTCATCTGTTGGTGTCCTCTCTTATTTCGTTGAGCAGTGGTGTAGTTCTCCTTGAAGAGGTCCTTTACATTCCTTGTTAGTTGTATTCCTAGGTATTTTATTCTCTTTGTGGCAATCGTGAATGGCGGTTCATTCTTGATTTGGCTCTCTTTAAGTCTGTTATTGGTGTATAGGAATGCATGTGATTTTGGCACATTGATTTTGTATCCTGAGACTTTGCTGAAGTTGCTTATCAGTTTCAGGAGATTTTGGGCTGAGACAATGGGGTCTTCTAGATATACAATCATGTCATCTGCAAATCAAGACAATTTGACTTCCTCCTTTCCTATTTCAATACCCTTTATTTCTTTTTCTTGCCTGATCGCTCTGGCTAGAACTTCTAGCACTATATTGAATAGGAGTGGTGAGAGAGGGCATCCCTGTCTAGTGCCACATTTCAAGGGGAATGCTTCCAGTTTTTGCCCATTCAGTATGATATTGGCTGTGGGTTTGTCGTAAATAGCTTTTATTATTTTGAGATACGTTCCATCAATACCTAGCTTATTGAGGGTTTTTAGCATAAACGGCTGTTGAAGTTTGTCAAAGGCCTTCTCTGCATCAATTGAGATAATCATGTGGTTTTTGTCATTGGTTCTGTTTATGTGGTGAATTACGTTTATAGACTTGCATATGTTGAACAAGCCTTGCATCCCTGGGATGAAGCCTACTTGATCATGGTGGATAAGCTTTTTGACGTGCTGTTGCAATCGGCTTGCCAGTATTTTATTCAAGATTTTTGCATCTATGTTCATCATGGATATTGGCCCGAAGTTTTCTTTTCTTGTTGAGTCTCTGCTGGGTTTTTGGAATCAGGATGATGTTGGTCTCATAAAATGATTTGGGAAGAATTCCCTCTTTTTGTATTGTTTGGAATAGTTTCAGAAGGAATGGCACCAGCTCCTCTTTGTATGTCTGGTAGAATTCGGCTGCGAATCCATCTGGACCTGGGCTTTTTTTGGGTGGTAAGCTCTTAATTGCTGCCTCAACTTCAGACCTTGTTATGGGTCTGTTCAGAGTTTTGGCTTCTTCCTGGTTTTGGCTTGGGAGGAGGCAAGTGTCCAGGAATTTATCCATTTCTTCCAGGTTTACTAGTTTATGTGCATAGAGTTGTTTGTAATAATCTCTGATGATGGTTTGAATTTCTGTAGAATCTGTGGTGATATCCCCTTTATCGTTTTTTATTGCATCAATTTGGTTATTCTCTCTTTTCTTTTTTATTAATCTGGCTAGTGGTCTGTCTCTTTTGTTGATCTTTTCAAAAAACAAGCTCCTGGATTTATTGATTTTTTGAAGGGTTTTTTGTGTCTCTATCTCCTTCAGTTCTGCTCTGATCTTAGTTATTTCTTGTCTTCTGCTAGGTTTTGAGTTTTTGTGACTTGCTCCTCTAGCTCTTTCAATTTTGATGATAGGGTGTCAATTTTTGATCTCTCCTTGCTTCTCATGTGGGCACTTATTGCTATATATTTTCCTCTGGAGACTGCTTTAAATGTGTCCCAGAGATTCTGGTATGTTGTGTCTTCATTCTAGTTGGTTTCGAAGAACAGTTTATTTCTGTCTTCATTTCATTGTTTATCCAGTCAACATTCAAGAGCGAGTTGTTCAGTTTCCATGAAGCTGTGTGGTTCTGGGTTAGTTTTTGAATTCTGAGTTCTAACTTGATTGCACTGTGGTCTGAGAGACTGTTTGTTATAATTTCCGTTCTTTTGCATTTGCTGAGGAGTGATTTACTCCCAATTATGTGGTCACTTTTAGAGTAGGTGTGATGTGGTGCTAAGAAGAATGTATATTCTGTGGATTTGGGGTGGAGAGTTCTGTAAATGTCTATTAGGTGTGCTTGGTCCAGGTCTGAGTTCAAGTCCTGGATATCCATGTTAACTTTCTGTCTGGTTGATCTGTCTAATATTGACAACGGGGTGTTAAAGTCTCCCACTATAATTGTGTGGGAGTCTAAGTCTCTTTGTAAGTCATTAAGAACCTGCCTTATGTATCTGGGTGCTCCTGTATTGGGTGCGTATATATTTAGGATCGTTAGCTCTTCTTGTTGCATTCATCCTTTTACGATTATGTAATGTCCTTCTTTGTCTCTTTTGATCTTTGTTGCTTTAAAGTCTATTTTATCAGAGATGAAAATTGCAACTACTGCTTTTTTTTGCTCTCCATTTGCTTGGTAAATCTTCCTCCATCCCTTTATTTTGAGCCTTTATGTATCCTTGCATGTGAGTTTGGTTTCGTGGATACAGCACACCGATGGGTTTTGGCTTTTTATCCAATTTGCCAGTCTGTGTCTTTTGATTGGGGCATTTAGTCCATTTACATTTAGGGTTAATATTGTTATGTGTGAATTTGATACTGCCATTTTGGTGCTAGCTGGCTGTTTTGCCCATTAGTTGATGCAGCTTCTTCATTGTGCTGATTCTCTTTACCATTTGGCATGTTTTTGGAGTGGCTGGTACTGGTTGTTCCTTTATATGTGTAGAGCCTCTTTCAGGAGCTCTTGTAAAGCTGGCCTGGTGGTGACAAAATCTCTGAGTACTTGCATGTTCACAAAGGATTTTATTTTTCCTTCACTTATGAAGCTTAGTTTGGCTGGATAGGAGATTCTGGGTTGAAAGTTCTTTTCTTTAAGGATATTGAATATTGGCCCCCACTCTCTTCTGGCTTGTAGGGTTTCTGCTGATAGATCTGCTGTGAGTCTGATGGGCTTCCCTTTGTGGGTAACCCGACCTTTCTCTGTCTGCCCTTAGTATTTTCTCCTTCATTTCAACCCTGGTGAATCTGACGATTATGTGCCTTGGGGTTGCTCTTCTTGACGAATATCTTTGTGGTGTTCTCTGTATTTCCTGGACTTGCATATTGGCCTGCCTAGATAGGTTGGAGAAGTTTTCCTAGATAATATCCTCAGGAGTATTTTCCAGCTTGGATTCATTCTCTTCGTCGCATTCAGGTATGCCTATCAAACGTAGATTAGGTCTTTTCACATAGTCCCACATTTCTTGGAGACTTTGTTCATTCCTTTTTACGCTTTTTTCTCTATTCTTGCCTTCCCGTTTTATTTCATTGAGTTGATCTTCGACCTCTGATATCCTTTCTTCTGCTTGGCCAATTCGGCTGTTGATACTTGTGCATGCTTCGCGAAGTTCTCATGTTGTGTTTTTCAGCTTCATCAATTCACTTATTTTCCTTTATGTTTTGTCCATTCTTGTTAGCATTTCATCAAATCTTTTTTCAACGTTCTTAGTTTCTTTGCATTGGGTTAGAACATGTTCTTTTAGTTCAAAGAAGTTTCTTACTACGCACCTTCTGAAGTCTGGTTCTGTCATTTCATCACACTCGTTCTCCATCCAACCTTGTTCCCTTGCTGGTGAGGAGTTGTGATCCATTGTAGGAGAAGAGATGTTCTTGTTTCAGGTGTTTTCATCCCTTTTGCGCTGGTTTCTTCCCATCTTCATGGATTTATCCACCTGTCATCTTTCTAGTTGCTGGCTTTCAGATTGGGTCTCTGAGTGGACGTTCTGTTTGTTGATGATGAGGTTATTTCTGTTTCTTAGTTTTCCTTCTAACAGTCTGGCCCCTCTACTGTAGGTCTGCTGAGGTCCACTCCAGGCCCTGCTTGCCTGGGGATCACCTGCAGCAGCTGCTGAACAGTAAGGGTTGTTACCAGTTTTCTTCTTCTGCTATTTTTGTCCCAGAAGGATACCCTCCAAGTGTCAGTCTGATCTCTCCTTTTTAAGGTGGCTCTTTCGATATACAGGGGTCAGGGAGCTGTTTGAGGAGACAGTCTGTTCTTTATAGGAGCTCAAATGCTGAGCTGTGAGCTCCATTGTTCATTCAGAGCTGCTGGGCAGGTACGTTTAGGTCTGCTGCAGCAGAACTCATAAACTGCTTTTTGTTCCCAGATGCTCTGTCCCAGGGATTTAGGGCTTTATTTATGAGTTTCTGTTATGCTGCTGCCTTCTTTTTTTTCCCCTTCAGAGCTGCCCTGTCTAGCAAGGAGGCAGCCTAGTCACTGTCTGCCTGTAGAGGCTTTGCTGAGCTGCTGTGGGCTCCACCCAGCTGCCGAGTGAACTTCCCTGCAGTCCTGTTTATATGGGTGTAGTTAGAACTGCCTCGGCAATGGTGGCCCACCTCTGTATTGGCGGAGTCTCTCTGTAATGGCGTGTTGCCTTGGCAGCAGCGGGTTGCCTTAGCAATGGCAGGTTGCCTCAGCAACGGTGGGCTTCCTCAGCATTGGCTGGCTACCTCCGTAGTGTTGGAGTGCCTCGGTAATGGCGTACGCCCCCTCCCCCAGAGAGCTGGACCATCCCAGATTCACCTGGGCTTGCTGTGAAACTCTCAATCCAGAGAGTTTCTGATTTCTGTTCTTTTGTGGGGTGGGACCAGCCAAGGCTGATCACCTGGCTCCCTGCCTCAGAGCCTTTTTTTTTTTAAGTTGGTGTTCCAGTGGCCTGTTGAAGAGGCGCCGGGATCTGTGTGTTTTCCTGTGAGGCGACTCATTGCACTGGCTTAAACAGTGGCACTGAGATTCATGGGGCTTGTTTTGCCCTGGAATCTGCTGTCTTGGTTCCCTGTTCAGTCCCCTTTTTAAACAGATGAATGGGTGACTTCCTGTGGCTCCAATCGCCAGCAAAAAGGGCACCCGGAACAGTGTATTTTGTATGGAGAACTGCTGCCCCGGGGTGCTGACAAAGCAGCCGTGCAGGACAAAGCAGCGGCGCCGGCCCACACAGCCGCACTGGCCAAAACAGCTGCGCTGGCAACCCGTGGAGCTCCTCCGCCTGGGAATTTCCTAGTCTATGGGCAATAAAAATGTGGCATCCACTCACCCTCTGCGCTTTCACTGGGAGCTGCAATCCTGAGCTGTTCCTAAACGGCCATCTTGGATCCCCCTGAATCCAGTCTTTACAAAGAACAGTACATAAAATAAGTGCAGCTAAAGAAACACAAATACCACAAGTTCTAACTTATTTGTGGAATCTAAAAACATCAAACTCAGAAGTGTGCTGCCAGCATGATGACAGAATAGGAAGTCGTCCACTTGTATTCCCCAGAACAAGAATTCTGTACCCACCAACAGAGAAAAACCTCTGCAGGAGCTGGGGATTGAGGTAGATGTTTGTGAAACCCCAGTGGATCCAAAGACTTTAGCAGGTCATTTTGAGAGTGCAGACCCACACCCAGGTGGCAGGCCTGCCAATCATGCTCTGCCATTGAAAGTCTGAAAGAGCCTCACTCCAAAAGGGCTTAGGTACAGCCTTGTATGGCCTTCACCCTGGAACCAAAACTACCTGCCAAAGCCTCCAGGAGGAATCACAATAGTGTCTTGGCAAAAAGGCTTGACTGCCCACCAACATTGGTCTCAGCAGTGGACTGGAAAGTTACCCTATAAAAGCTACAGTTCCCCTCAACTGTGGTCACAGCTTGGCACTGCTTGGCCTCAGAAGGGGTGCTCATGTGTGACAGTAGGATCCTCTAACCTCATTAAGGTAGTAGGAAACTGAGGGAGGCCCAGATAGTTAGAGGAGCATAGCTTAATCAGCACAGCCAGCTAGTGGAAACCCTTGGTTCTAAGATCCTGAACAAAACAAGGATGCCCACTTTTACTATTTTTAGTCAACATAATATTGAAAGTCCCAGCCAGAGCAATTAGGCAAGAGAAACAAAGAAAGGACATCCAAATTGGAAATGAAGAAGTCAAATTATCTTGTTTGCAGAAGACAATTTTTTTCATGGGAGTTTAATCTTTTCACTGACAAATAAGATTTATTATTTGTCAAATCAACACTTCAGAGTTCTTTGGGGTTTTTTTTCCATTTATTTATTTTATTGCATTTTAGGTTTGGGGGTACATGCAAAGAACATGCAAGATTGTTGCATAGACACGTGGCAGTGTGATTTGCTGCCTTCCTCCCCATCACCTACATCTGGCATCTCTCCCCTTGCTATTTCTCCCCAACTCCCCACAGAGTTCTTTGTTTTTTATTGACACCTAATATTTTACATGTTTATGGAGTACATATGAGTATTTGTTACACGCAGGGAATGAGTAATAACCAAGCCAGGGTAATCTGGGATATCCATCACCATGCATGTATGCATGTTTCTCATTTTTGAGTACTGTTATCATTTCCAGTCTTCTCTTCCAGTTACTTTGCAATATACGTAATAGTATTGCTGCATATGATCACCTTAGTCAAACATTAGGATTCTATCAAACATTAGGATTATTTCTTCAATGTAACTGCATGTTTATATCCATAAACAACCTCTCTTCACCTTCTCTTCCCAGTTCCTGATATCTATCTTATTCTTGATGTCCATGAGATCAAGTTTTTACCTCCCACATATGAGTATGTATCCCACATGTAGTATGTATCATTGTGTGGCCATCTTGTGTCACTTATCATAATGACACCCAGTTCCATTTGTGTTGCTGGAAAAGGATTCCATTATTTTTAATGGCTGAATAGTGTATGTGTATATATATGTGTGGGTATGTGTGTGGGTGTGAGTACATGTGGGTGTGTATCCAGAAAACAAATGCTGGATCATATAAACACACACACACACACACACACACACACACCATTTTTCTTGTCCAATCAGCCATTGATGAACACTTAGATTGATTCCATATCTGTGCTATTGGGAATAATGCTGTGATGAACCTGTGAGTCAGGTATCGCTTTGAAACAATAATTTCTTTTCTTTTGAATAGATAACCTGTAGAGGGATTGCTGCCTCATGTGGTAGTTTTATTTTTATTTTTTCTGAGAAATGTTTATACTGTTTTCTATATGGCTGCACTAATTTACATTCCCACTGTGTCTAAGAGTACCTTTTTCTCTGAATCCTCACCAGCATCTGTGTATGTGTGTGTGTGTGTGTGTGTGTGTGTGTGTGTGTGTTTATGTGTGTGTCTGTCTTTTTAATGATAAATATTCTGTGGTGAGATATCTCATTGTGGTTTTGATTTACAATCCCTGATAATTAGTGTTTTTCATATACTATTGGTCATTTGTATGTCTTCTTTTGAAAACTTTTGTCCATTTTTAGTGGGATTGTTTGGTTTTCTACAGTTGAATTGTTATTCTTGTATAGAATACATATTAGTCCCCTTCAGGTGAGCACTTTGCAATTGTTATCTCCCATTCAAGTGATTTGCACTTCCCTTATAATAGGTGGTGTTGAGCAGATTTTCATATACCTATTAGTCATTTGTACATCTTCTTTTTTTTTAGGTAAGATTTTATTTATTGTGATGGGTTTGCTTGTCTGTTCATAAGTTCATTCCAGTCTGGAACACAGGAAGATAATGCTACCCGCATGGTTGCTGCACCTTTTAGTCCCTTTCTTTCCTTTGTTTTTAACTGGGTGAAGGTAGAAAACCCTAATTCACACAAACTAGTAGTTGTGAATGGCCGTAATGGCAGGACACTCTTTCTCAACAATGGAAAGTCTTCTTTTACCTTAATCCAAAATGCTAATAAACTTAAGATGTCATAATCATTCTTTAATGTACATGAAGAACTAAGCTGCAGTAATTCATTCTCTTCTTCAGGCACCAAGTAGCTCAATTATTGATTCAGGGTTTCAAAAAGCAAATGGATCTTTTACCCAACTGTTTTCCCTTAATGTTTCAAATTTTTCTTCTGGAAAGAAATGGTTAAAAGTTTGAGATAGAGAAGTGAGATGCAACAATATCTCTAATTTTACTTCTTTCAAAATGTCTTCATTAATAATATTCTCCTGTCTTGCTTAAGATAACAATAATGTTTTTCGAAATCCCTGGATAAGTTCAACATGTTGGAATATGTCACTGTTTCTCCCCTGTAGTTTTAAACTCAGCTCATTAAGAATGCTTTAAGGACACGTGCACACGAATGTTCATTGCAGCACTGTTTACAATAGCAAAGACCTGGAACCAACCCAAATGCCCATCGATGATAGACTGGACAGGGAAAATGTGGCACATATACACCATGGAATACTATGCAGCCATCAAAAACAATGAGTTCGTGTCCTCTGTAGGGACATGGATGAACCTGGAAACCATCATTCTCAGCAAACTGACACAAGAGCAGAAAATCAAACACCGCATGTTCTCACTCATAGGCGAGTGTTGAACAATGAGAACACATGGACAGAGGGAGGGGAGCACTACACACTGGGGTCTGTTGGGGGAAAATAGGGGAGGGACAGTGCGGGGGCGGGGAGTTAGGGAGAGATAGCATGGGGAGAAATGCCAGATATAGGTGATGGGGAGGAAGGCAGCAACTCACACTGCCACGTGTGTACCTATGCAACAATTTTGCATGTTCTTCACATGTACCCCAAAACCTAAAATGCAATTTAAAAAGTCAGTTAAAAATGCCAATTTTGTTACCCAAATATCATCTTCAAAAATATTTGCCAAATGAGATTTTTTTTCAATGAGAAAAAAGTGAGTCTCATTCCTGAGCTAATAAACCATGCTTAGTATTTTCCCTTAAGACAATCAACAAACTTTGGTATGATACAGTAAGTGGGTATGATTAGTTCTAATCTCTGAACAAAATGTTTCAAGAAGCCAGCTATTCAGTGAGCTTCCTTTAATAAAATTAACAACTTTCACTGCAGTCGTCAATACTTCCATGAGATTTTGTGGAATTTCTCTGGATGTTAAACCTTTACTATGTATAAAACAATGATTCCACACAGTACAATTATTAGCAAATTCCGGCCATTTTTTAATTATTCTGCTATGTTTTCCAGTTATGGTGCTGTGCCATCACTTGTAATTCCTTTACAGTATTCCAGTTAAATTTATATTGGCTAACCATGTGCCTTTCTAATTCTGTAAAAATATCTAA